CCTCAAATTGGTTCAAGAGGTCCCAACAAACTTGCATGTGGTGTTCTCTCTGTTCTTGTACGAGCGCTTGTGGGGCTACGTCACCATCTTCATTTCCAATACACTGCAAACAACATTCAGCTCCCACACAGTTCCCTGGCCATAATCTGGTTCAAATTCTACTGCTATACCACCAATATCTGCCTCTGACATCATGGGCAAACATAATAAAACAGAAGGCATTACTTTCAGATCAGCCCCTGGACTTTTGCAGCCTTCTGCCTTCCTAAGGCCCGTTAGACTTTTCAAAAATTAATTTAATTCTGATAAAATTATAAAGAGTAGTATCACCAACATGCAAATAATGAGGTTAGGTTTGTTTGCAAGTTACATTCAGCTTCTCTCTGTTCTTCAGCTCCATTCTCAATAGCATTTGCTTTTAAAAGAAAGGCTGGTGAGCTCCCTTTACCCCAGCCACTGACTGCAGTACTAGGGAATTACAGCAGTTCCCAAAGGATGTGCAAGATGGGCATGCTGGTAGATTCACTCTGTTGTTACTTTCTGTGAATACCCTACAGTACTTCCAACTGCAGGCTAAGCGTTGCTTTCATGCCCTGATTTCACACAGTTCTGCTCTGGTTGAGCATGCAAACCAATTAGGGCCAAAACAAACTCCTGTACCCCAAGAACTACCCTCAAGATTGAGTGTTGTTCTGAGGTTTGCTGCTGAAATTTGGTTATTTGTGACAAATGCTTAATAATTATTTCAGCTGCTGTGAACTTAACTGGATCAGTTGTTATCTATTGTGCCAGTGTATTCCAAGCTAATCAGAGCACACTAGCTTTTGCTTGGACTTTGGTCCATCTGTTCCTTCAAAATAAATGCAGTTCTAGTGCTCTGCCTTTTGCATTGACGAAGATTCATAGGGCAACTCATTGCTGCAGAGTCAGTCGTGTCTCGGTTGTGGGAGACACGTTCAGCACTCCACGGGCTGGAAGAAATCACACAAAACATTGTGATTTCCCTGCCAGAATTTGCTGGGAATGTGAGTTACACTTATTGATCACATTGTTGCTCATAAGAAGCAGAATATGAGGCAAGACCTCAGAAAATAGGATGGTGTTGGAAGAATATGGTGATAAGAGAAGCCTTGTGCATTTCCAGTGTTTAAAGTTTAATACTAATATGTGTTCTGCTCTGTGGATGTTTATTTGTACAGTTTGATGCATATAGCTGCTTAAATGTGTGCTGGGAGTACGTTAAATGAAAGAGCAGTGTGGATTTTGAGTGGCTTCAGTAGAATGGACGAGGAGTTTCTTGCTTCCCTTTTACAGGCAGAGCAGATAGATGGATCACGTAATGATCTGCTCCCTCCTTGCAGGTCAGAGGACTACACTCAGGTCCTGCCTCTCGTTCCATCTCAATCTCAGTCAGACTGGGGAAGGTCAGACCCCTGTCTTCATCTCCTCCTCTTCAGCAAAGGTTGGCTTACATCCCAAAGTATGCCTGGGTCAGAAGATGCTGACAGGTTTCCAGAAATTATAACAGGCTCTTGAGGTGTTTCTTTCTCCTTCTGTGCTGCGTTCTGAACACCACGCTCAGAAGGAATGCCTTGGCTAGCTGTCTTATAGCAGGAATTCAATATCATTGGGCTGGGATTTAACATTTTATACAGACTGCTGCTGAGCCCCTGAGTGGCCAGCTTGGAGCGCTGTTTGATGACATCTCATTGAGCTGCCCCTCACTGGCAGCTGTTGGGAGTTTCTTCCCATGGTGGTCTCTGCTTGCCTTTTCTGCTCCAGCGCTTGTGTAGGTCATCAAAGGCAGCCTGCCCTCTGCCAACAGCTAGGACAGATAACATCATTTCAAACTGTAGTGTTCTACGTGGGCATCAACACTTTTAATTGCTTAATAGGAGTTTTAATTGTGTAATAGGACAGTATTATCCCCTTGCTTTCCTCAAACCACTGCTTTTAGCGTTTTTATGCAGTGCACCCAGCTGACAAAGTGTCTCTTGAGCCATGGAATTGCACAGCCTGTTTTTTCACAACAAATTGGGCAAGTGTGGGTTTTCAGTATATCTGTGCCCCTGGTGCAGAGCTGGGAGGCATTTTAGTGCATCTAACCACTATAGGGTTGCTGGGTTTAGTTGAGATGTTATTCATACCCATTAAAAAATGGTCCCCAAAATGGCTGGTGCTAGAATCCTGTGTAGATGCCTAAACTGTCTTGCTGGTGAAATTATAAAATCTTATGTACTGTTGTCTTCAAAGAGACTTTACTTTTTCTTTTTTCTTGCTTTGTTTGTTAGTGAAATAATTCATCGTACTCCTCCATGAACGTCATCCATTAGAAATTGGACTAGAAGGTTTCTTGATTGACTTTTTTCATTCTTGTTTGCTGTTTCAGTACTCCACATATATCAGCTACCAGGATGGAAAACCATGGTTCATTTAAAACTACAGAGGAGTATCTTAAATACTGCTGAGATGAGTAGGAACATGGAGTCATGCCCTAAAGTCCTTGTGTTCACCTGTGGACATTGGAAAAATAAGGAAGCCAAACATTTGTCTACTGCAGCATGGCCGCCTCCTTCAGCACTAATTGCTCCATCCTGCCTGAGTAACTTCAGAATAGCTTTTCTTCTGCCCACCCATCTCACCTCCTGGACTTTATTTTTCTTACCTCCTCTCCACTGCTGCTTCTGCGTCCTCTATTGATCTAGAAGAGGTCCTGTCTGTCCATGTAATCGTATCTTTGAAGCTGGAAGAGCATCCTTTGCTCTCCTACTTCTTTTTGGGAAACTTCTTTTTGGGAAAAGCCTCATTCCAGAAAGGCTCAAGGTGCCTTTGGGGTGATGAATATTCATTACCTTCGTTTGGATCTGCCCTTTATTGCTCACAGACTTTCCTCCCATTCAAGTCCAAGCAACCCAACAGCAGTGGTAAGATCCATTTGGAGCATTTTGTGGATGCCCTGTCCCTGGAGACATTCAAGGCTGGACAGGGCTTTGAACAGCCTGAACGAGCTGTAGGTGTCCCTGTTCAATGCAGGGGAGTTGGACTAGATTACCTTTAAAGGTCCCTTCCAAATGATTCTGTGACGTCCATCCTAAAACTGTAGTTGAGTTCCTGTATGACACCTGTCATGAATAAGGGAATGCACTGAGATGTTGGGTGTCAGTGATCAGTAACACATTCTGGTACATTAGTGGTAATGATGGGGAAGAGGAACACATCGGGCAGAAATGATTATTTCAAAATTGGTGTCTGGTTTGTTTTGGCTATATTTAGACCTGTGGTGGTAGCCTGTTCTGGACTGGTTCTGCAGGAGGCACAGCAGCTGAGGAGTCAGAGCAGAGTGAGGCAGAAACCCACAGTCAGCACATCATTCCTTTGTTTAGATATTTACCTGGGGAAAGTGGTCAGTAGGCTCACAAAACAGATGTTGAGTGCAGAGGGAACTGTCAATGAGGGCAGCACATGACAAAATGTAATGCTGTTGATTGTGTGTGATGGACTGCCTGCACAGCTTGACTTTCAGGTCACCACTGAAAATATATCAGCAGCTTCCAAGAGCAGAAAACCTTTGGCAGTTTGAGTCAGCACACACAGTGACAAAGTCCTGTCTTGAGTTCTGGACAAGACCTCACTGGCTGTACTCTGTGTGCTGGGTCACAGCTGCCTCCAAGCCTTATCAGGCTGATCCAAGCTTATTAAAGTTACCATATCCATCTCTATACCCTTTAAAAGCCTTGAGGTGCTTGCAAATGCAACTCACTGCTGCCCAAGGGGCTTCACTAGCTACACAGACAGCATGGAGTAGTTCAGTGTGATTGCACAGCATTACCTGATGGTAATTCCCACACAGTTTTCACAAGGGCATGTGTGATCACTGTAAATGTGCACATTTGCCTCTGGAAGTGCCCGAATGCAGTCACCTCTGTGTACATTGTCATTTTTGGGTCCAAGTTTGCCTGCTGAAGAGGCCAGTAAGTTTAGCATAATCTATCTAGAGAATTAAATCTCATACACCTTTGCACATGTGCTTTTCAGAGTATGTGGCAGAGAGAAATGTATACATATAGACATTTAGATTGTACGCTTGTGACTCAACTCACACATACGAGAGGTGCCCTGCCCAGTAATTCTGCATGGGCAAATTCACATCTACGTTTACCCAAGCAAACTCCAACAAGCAAAAGAAAACACTTCTCTGTGCAGCCTTTGGCTGAGCTGCTGCTCTCTTTGGCACAGGATGTTGTAGCTGCTGCAATTTTAGTATGGGGCCAAAATGCCCTTACACAAGCCTTTAGAAGAGACTGTACAGAACATGACTCAATATACAGATAATGTCTCAGGCTCAGGAAATTGCAGGGCTGCGTGTTTCTGGAAGTTGGGCACATTCTGGCGAGGGACTAAGTACATCTACCCCCCTTTCAAACTCTACCCCAAGAATCTGCCAATGATGCTGAGAGAGCAAGAGGGCCTGAGTTAGCTGGGTTCAATCTGACTCTTATAGCCACTCTTGCAGTCTTACACATGTCCTTACCTCCAATTTCTCCAGCTACTTCAATGAAATTTCATCCTGCACTTTCTGCCTCAGTGTCTGCCACTGAAGAACTCTGGAATGTGTGGATACTGCCAGGGGAGCAGGATCAGGCTGTGGCAGACATCAACATAAACAGACTGTATATCTTGTTATTCTAATGACAACTGTCTGTTCTGGCAATTGGATTTTAAGTTTTCATTACATTTAGAATTATAACAGGCAGTTCATCAAGATTTAGTGGTCTTAGATGAGTGTCTCTGAACAGGCTGAATGCTTTGCAGGTGCCAGGAAAGGAACTGGACCAGATATGTTGACCACTTTTATCTCTTACTAGTTGAAGATGGGGCCCAGACAAGGAGTGGATAGTGTTAATAGAAATTCCTGCCCAGGCATCCAGCAGGAAAAACAGCTTTTTCATATGAGAACCTGAAAGCCTAAGTCTTGTCTTTTTTTTTTTTTTTCTTAACAGATGGGATGCAAAAGAAGGTGAGGACACGTCTTTTCTGAAGGATGATCCTGACAGCCAGGTGAGCTCATCAGCTCAAGGGGGGCTGTCAAGTTTACTCAAAACATGCGCTATCAGGAAGGCTGTCAGCCAGTACAGAGAGGGGAGATCACTGTGCTGGGGTAAATATACCCCTCGACAGCACTCTCTGGGTGGCAGGATGTAGGATGTGAGACCGTTGACCCTCTGTCAGTATAACAACCCCCACTTAGTCTGCTTCACCTGCATCCTTTTGTTTCTTTTAATGGCCTCAGCAGATTTATTCTCATGTGTTGGGAACCATCATAGACAAGGAATACCATATACTGACATAGTTGAAATAAATATATCCTCCGATGTGTTTTTTGTTTGTTTGTTTGTTTGTTTGTTTAAAGAGGAACCTTGGTACAGACAAGCAGAAAAGCAAAGGTGAAGAGGTATTGGAAGAGAACTGCACAGCTGAGTTGGAGGAGAAGGTGAAACCGCCGAGCTTTCAAGAGCATGGGAGGAGAAGTGGGAAGGCCTGGCCTGCCCATAATGGGCAGAAAGAGGAAAGGAGAAGACTGAAGGGGCTCAGCAAGGAGGTCTCTGAAGCCAACACAGGTGACTTGGAGCCGAGGTCCAAGGCAAGTAAGGAACATATTGAGGAAGATGCCAACGGGAAGCCTGGCACTGCTGATATTCCCCAGGAGGAGAGCACAAATAGCAGTGCTTCACAAAGTGGCCTTCCAAGTGCTGTGCAAGCCACTAAGCGTAGCAGTGAGGAGACCTTGTTATTGCCCGTGGGAGCTGATTTAGATGGGGGTGGCTTAGAGAAAAAGACAGCTTCTGAATGGGAATCCACTGAGGACTCTTCAAACAGCCATGGAGGAAAGCTGGACACAGATGCAGGAGACAGACTGGATGCAGATCAAGGACAACTGGTGGGAAGAAGAGGGGAAGAAGTGGCCCAAAACACTGCCCTTGAGGGACAAACACTTGCTCTGAAAGGAGTTGAAGATGCTGAAGACACTAAACACACAGGAGAGCCTTTGTCCACAAAGAAAGACAACTCCAACGAGACTGTTGTTCCTGAGCAGGATATGGCAAAACTACAGTCCAGGGAAGGGGACCAGCCTGAGGATGGCAAGGACAAGGACAGTGGGGACACTCTCAACTAGCAAATAATGCACCAGTTTGCCTGAGATGGAAGGTGAGTTCCTGATTCCACTCATCATTGTGTTTGCTATCCTCACAGCCACAGTTGTGACACTCACAGCCATAGTACAGGTTCACATCTCTGTTTTCCGTGGCCACAGGGGCAACATATCACATAGCTATTCAGAAGCATTCATTAACTGTGATATAGATCCCTCAGATAGTCTAAATCTGTGCATCACAAAGACCTGCCTTGGTATGGATGCAAAAACAAGGGAAATTCAGACAGAAAAATTTGTACAGAAAACTGGGCTGCTGAGCCTGGCTGGTGACAAGCACGAGTTAGGGCACAAACTGAAACTATTCCTGGAAAGGGATAATCTCAGAAAAGTGAGAATAAAAGCATGAATATATTTCTGTCTGTGATAATCACAACTAGAATAACTAGAGGTTAACGTGATCCTGTTCCCAAAACACATACCTACAGAGGCCCATCTTGTGAGCAGTAGCTCAAAAAAGCTTGACATTAGATGGGATTCTGCTATTGTAATTGCTCTGTGAATGTTAAAACTTGAATTATCCGGCAACAGTGATGTGTAAGGCAGGATGAGATGGTTCCTGTCACAAAAGCTTATGAACCAAGTAGAAAGGGGAAAAAACAGACCTGGTTACATAACAAAGCTCTGGGTTTTATTCAAGCAAAGAAATTTTTTCCAGAAAGGCAAATCTAGAACAGCCAAAACAAAAGGTAGAAATTAGAGAGAAGGGACAAAGAAGGAGAGCAGGGAGTCTTTGGCAATTACCTTTGCCAAAAACATTTTTCCCAGGCAGTGTCACAGATCAGGGTGTCATACCTACATGTGCCACATCAACCCAATCAGTCGGGATCTGATCCTGCCGCCAGGTGAGGCCGTATCTCAGTACCCTGTAAGAAGAGACGCAGCAGCAATATTCCTAAGTGGGCACTTCAGGCAATCAGCTGTCCAAACTGCCCACCAAATTCCTTTCCCTCGTTTCAGCAGGCTGTTCTTCAGACCCCTAACCAGCAGCTTGTCAGGTGGTTTGGTTTAATATTCATCCCAGAGACACAAAGAGGCTTAGAGATGAAATGGTTAAAGCGCTAACAAGAAGACTTTCCCTGCAATCCAGTTCTATACAAAGGCACGGAGAAGCTCAAGCACTGCAGCTATTTAGAAAAGACAGAACACTATGAAGTAGCAGGAACTGGTTCTGTACTGGAACTAAAACTCTTTTAAGTGAGGAAAATTAATTCCAGCAGTATTTAAGAGAAAGTTGAGACCTGGATGCATGTAGTACATGGACTTCACTGCCCAGACTGTGCATCTCCAATCTACCAGAAACCCAGAATTAGAGGAAGGAGGAATTAAAATTATCCTGAGTGATAAAAGTAGTCATTAATTAGACACCAGCTAAGAGAGGGAACAATAAATCAGAACAGTCCATTTTCATCTCATCAATGCAGTGGAGATTCCTATGGCTTCATAATGGGCCCTCACTTCAGCACAGTTCTTTACTCTATCACTCTTCTGTTAAGTTATTAAGGCAGGCTTAATTATAAACACAGCCTTATATCTTGGAGAAGACTTGGAGGTGACTTAAGCTGGTGTTTGTACTTAAGCACTCCTGCATCCATTTGGCTAAGCTGGAACCTGAGATCAAGATTGCTCTCTGAAATTATTTACTGCTTGGAAAACACCAAGCATAGCAATGCCAGGGGATCAGTCCCACTGTACTGAGAATCCTGAAGGCAAATGTGGTGTGAGGGGACTGCAAGGTGGCAGTGGGCAGCAGATGGTGTGTGCAGTACTCATAGGAACAAAGATCACAGCCTCATAGAGACTGCTGAAGGGGTCACTCACTTTTGGAAGGACTTTCTCACAAGAGGACACCTGTGGAGGTGCCAGGATGAGCCAGTGCAGCGATTTCTATGACCCCATCTCAGAAACAGGTTTCTCTTTTTCATTTTTTTTTTCCCCATTACATCAACAGCATTCAGGGAATGAGAGAGTGAGCACAGCTTGGTTGTGTGTTTTTAGTGACGTTCTGGGGCATTGCTGTCACCTACTCAATACTGAAGTCACCACAAAGCAATCTGACCTCTCCTTTTGCACCAGTGACAGCCCATTATCAGGGCTGGCTTCCCCAAAAAGATCATGTGCAGACAGGGTGAGTTATGCCAGGAAGACAGAGGGCCTGTCTTTCATTCTCTGCTCTATGTGTCCAATTTGCCAGGAACACCTCTCAGCAAGGGGATAAAGAAAAAAAAGACCTGGATTTCCCTAGCACCAGCTCAGCACAACTAGGACAATTCATCTCTTTGGACTGACAGCAGGGCTTCTAGGAGCAACAAAACAGCAACAATGACAACAGCAACCAGAAGAGCAAAAGCTCATTTGGCTCAAGTCAGTTATGTTGTCAGTGTGTTTGAAGCAAAAAGGTCTCATGTCTATTCCTGCTGTTGCTTTGAAGTTCCCAAATCAACATGACAGGCTGCATAATGACATAGATGGCAGTCATAAATAACTGTGGACTGGTAACAACCACTAACCTTCTCTCCTGGCTTCTTTTGCCTTGTACAGCAGATTAATTTCAGACCACATTATGTATAAAATGCTGCAAAGCCCTACCTTGTTTTCATGTAATTCTCCCAAAAGTGTTATCTCACAGCAGTTTTTTGGAACCAGATTCCTTAGGCTTGCAAAGCAGAGAATGTTAATGTTATGTTTTGAAGTACTGGTCATTCAGTTTTGATACAGTGCAATTTTTGCAAAAATCAGCCTAGAAATCGATGGGGTGATTTTCCAAAATAAAAAAAAAAACCTATCAACTCCCAAAGGGATGTAAAAATATCAATTCCATTATGAAAGTCCCACACACAAAACAATTCTGTAGCAGGCCATTGCACCTGATGTCAGGGAGATGTCCCCTGTTCCAGGATCCCAGCTATCCCAAAGCACAGCAGTTATCTGTAGCAGTGGATTACTCAGCAGCTGCTGCTAACTCAAGCATTTCTGCAGAGCAGTAGCTCCTTGCAGCAGACACTACGTGAATTTTACAGCTTCCACTGCTAATGTCTATTTATGGCACTGAAAATCTCCTGCACCTTCAAACCAGTTGGAGATGCTGTGCAGTGAGCATGGCGGGGCTTTCATCATTTGCTTCAAATAACAAGGAATAAATATTTACCCAAAGTGAAGGACTGGAATCCCTGGAGAATGTCCAACAAGTCCCAGAGAAGTAAACGATACACAAAAACCACAGAAGCTTTTTCCCTGAATTCTCTTGAGAAAATTAATCTTAACATCTTTAGAGAAAATGCAGCTGGGGGTACGTTTCCAGAGCAGCTCCAGGGATCTGACCTTGCAGCTCCAGCTGACGTCAGCAGGAGTGGGGCAGGCAGGGCCTGTGTGCTGCAGGATGGGGAGGGCGGACGGGGTCAGCTGTCTGATGTAAACCAGTGCTAAAGGTTGGTGCAGGAAGCAGGACAAGCAGAAGCTAACACTTCTCGCTGCAGCTCCAGGGCTGCAAAGAACATACCTCTTCCCCCAAGGTCCAAGAGTTGAGAAGATACTGCTGCTGTCTCAGATATTGGTCTGGGGTTAGCCAGGCACAGATCTCAAGGGGTTAGCTTGGAGAGCACTGGTCCCTCTGGTCCTTCTGTGCAACCCAACATCACCCTCTGGTTCTTCTGTTCAACCCAACATCATATTGTGACTTGTGGAGAGAAGAAACTACTAGAAGCTGTTAATGCATTAAGAGGCACGGACCTAGTCATTTGGTACACCTTTGCTTCCTTACGGCTACTGAGCACATCAAGGCTGAACTTAACCAGGGGCTCTGGCAGGCAGGCTGTTGCCATTCTAAGCACTGAACACAGAGCTGTTTGCTCTGCTTTGCAGCCTGCAGCTGCTGCTGGTATGGCAGAGTTGACAGAAGGGAGCACGCGCCCATACCTCAGACGCCTGTGTTAACCTTCCTAACACAGACCCCAGACAAAAAGGAGGCAGAGATCAGTACATCACATTGTGATCTGCATTTTATTTTCCACCAGCTCTGTGCTCAGAGGGAACACATAGAATGCAGAAAGTGATGGTAGCTTAAACCACTCCAGCAGGATCCTCCACCAAAGTCTGCCTTCTCACATTTCAGCTCACCAAGGGTAGCAGTGATAACTGTTCAACCAGTGACAAATCTAGACAGCGACCCACAGATTTGGCACTGCATCCTCTTGTTGCTGATGGCAGAACTAAAGGCAGCACACAGCTGCATTGCTCTCCTGAGTCCCAGACACAAACACCAACCGAGGGCCAAGCTCCAGCAGCCTGTGAGTTATGGAAAAGAGGACACAGCAAAGAGGAGAGAAACGCTAATCACTATTTCTAATTACTAAAAGCAATGACTGTAAAGCCCACCAGTGTCTCAGATGCAAAGACTTGCTCATGCACAGAAAGGTGTCTGTACTGAAAGGATAATACTGCACAAGAGGAAAGAGAACCGTCTAACTGCAGGGAAGAGTGCAGGGATGACAGTGAGATTTTTGGAACCATCAACAGTCATATAGATTAACAATAAACAGAGCTAGCTCTGGGGTCATTTCAGGCTTGTAAAACAGATTATAAAAATGTCTACAGCTGCAGCCTTACTCTTCCTTCAGCATCAATTATTTTAGTACCTTGGATATGACTTCTGTGTAGTTCCATATTGGATCTCTGTCATTAGATAATTCCTTTGAATCTTCCCTTTTTATGGGAGCCAAGCTGTCTATTGCCTATGCTTCCTTCACAATATTTCATCTGTTTTTGCTTTTATATTCCTTCTCTATCCTTTCTTATGAGCTTCAGGTGTTGAAATCTGCACCAGCTAGAGGCGGAACTGTGAATTTCAACGTGGATGCAGAAAAAATGCCAACTCAGCAATTCTGAGCAGCACTCAAGCATCTGGCAACTAGAGGGGGAAAAAAAAAGAGTATGCCTTTCCTAATGAAAATCAGTGTACTTAGATCTGGAGGCAGAACAGCAATTTCAACTCACAGGCTAGTGTTTTCATTGGAGAAAAGCTAATACAACTTCAAGCCACAGATAGAGGGATGCAGAATCCTACACCAAATCAGACCTTCCTCTTGTTGCTCCAGGTGCTGTACAGGCAAAAAGAAAATCACACATAGATTACTGTTCTTAAGCTGAAAGGGAAACAGTCTTACCTAGCCCAGAGGAGGACTACAAGTACATTTCATGCAGTCTCACATATCTGGTTCCTCCCCTGGGCTGCAGTGCTCCCCAGATGCTCCCATCAGATCTGGCAGGTAGGTGCCTGGGTTATGCCATGCTGGTACCCACAGCAGCTGCAACCACACAGGAAGGTCAGACTGAAACTCAGCAGGCACTTCAAATTTAATGCTTAGCAGTTCCCTGAAGGCTGATAATCCTGTTACTGTGTCTGTTCTTGTTTTGCCAGGACAACATGCTGAAGGTGGTGGATGAGAAGAGGAGCACAACATTAGCCTCACTCTTTGATCTTCTATGAAATCAACTTTCAGCACCTTCCCTGCGCCCTTCATCACTTCCAGCTCAGCCCTTGCTCTCCATATGTCAAAGGGCAGGGAAGGCTACCCACACTCCCCACAAGAAAAACACCATCACTTTTCTTTTGTATTTGTTTTGCCTATATTGCAGCTGTGTGGCAAGCCAATGAAACGTCTACTGTATGCACTTTATTTTATTTAATAACTAATTCTGTTTAAAGTTAAGATTTTTCCTTCTGGGCAGCCTACCCACTTCCTCCCCCAGAGGCTGTCAGGGAAGCGCATGTGCACGGGCTGCTGGGCTCTCCAGAGCAGACAAGTGACAAAGCAGAACACTAGGAGACAGCACGAGAGGCTGTGCCGAAACTCAGTAGGCAGGTGAAGCAGGGCAGCTCTTGTAATAGAGATTTGTATGTAGTTGAAGTGGTGGTGGGCATGTACAGTAGTTGCATGGGTCACAGGCACAAAGGCGACAGAGCGTTCTTGGGATACACTGTTGAGCACGGGTGCTTTTGACAAGTGCATGCCAGCTATGGCATCTCATCCTTTCAGAGGCCACTCTACTCCTCCAGCTAGATAAGGTAGGGCAGAAACATCACAACACTCTCAGACATAGGGTTTGGATTTTGGTTCATACTGGATGGAGCCACGAGTTGGATCCCCGTGGATCCCTTCCAACTTGGGTTGTTTGATGGTTCTATGTCAGGAGAGCAGAGTTTTCTCTGTGTTTCACAGTTATGAAAGGTAGCTGCTACACTGATAAGGTGAAGCTTGGCAACTACTGCTACCTAAGACCAAAAAGTACAAAAGCTGCAGTGACTGGGGATGCAGCTTTGTGTCAAGTGTGACAAGGAGTAGAGCAGCACAAATGGAATACTCTTCCCTCTTTAACAGCAAGGAAGGAGCTGGCAGCAAGAAGCACAGCCAAACTGGAGTTGCAAGTCAGAGCTTCCTGTCAAGTGCCAGCCTTCATGGTTGTCCTTTCAAAGCCTTGGGCCTGAACAAGAAGGTAACTGCTCCCTTGGAAGCTACCAAGCATAATTTTTGAGCAAACCTTAAAAGATGCCTTTCAGATTAAGAAACTGGTTGAGCATTACAAGCACAAATGAGCAAAAACCCCAGTTTGGATTCCCAAGCAACTGTAAGGCTCACAGCAAACAGCAACTACCAAAATACGGCTACTTATTAAGGAGCAGGCAGAAAGCAGGCACAAGTGCTTAGATTTCTAAGTGACAGAGAAGCAAGGATATCACCTTCCCTTCACTGCCCTAAAACCTGAAGCAGTTTCAGGAGTCAATTGCAGACACGTACGCGTGGAGATTTACTGGATTTCATTGCAAGCTGCATTTGCTAGCCAAAATGGCAGGCTGCCTTGATGATAAGGTTGGTATATGTGGTGGACTGAAATACTGTATGCTGTTCTAATAAACTAGTATTTGCACATATAAACATTTTGCTTTTCCGCATCTGTAGCACCTAAGTCATGAAGGACAAGCCTGGGAACTTCTATGTGCCAAATTCAGGACAACGTATTGGCTTCAGACCAGGCATTAACAAGAAACAGAGCATGCTGCTTTCACGCTTTATGTAGAAACATCTTTGCCTCACCAAAGCCTGGGCTGGGTTTATTTGGGAACGGATAGACAAAAGCCAGATTATAAAACTACTCCAGGTCCTGGAAATTCTCCATCACTTAAAGACCCATTCCCCACAACCAACCTTAAGTCCTTTTTAAAAAAAAAAAAAAAAAAATCAAAGAGCCCTGCCCTCCATCCTCCTTTACACCCCCAGCTCCATGAAAATCCAACAAATCTTGCACTTAATGATGCCTAGGAAGGATCAAGCTCTGTACACTGTACTGTGCAGATGGTGCCTGTCCTCAGTGTAATTTCTTCCTGCTTATGAAAACCTGCTTGAATGCATTTTGGTTGGTGCCCAGATTGCAGCTCTTCAGAAAAATTGGAAAAAATCATGGCTAGCTATTTCTTCTTTACAGTGAGAGAAAAGACTGAACAGATGAAAAGCTGATGTAGAGGGGTTATTTATATTAAATAAAAATTATGAGAAGTCTCAGTTTTGTAGCGTTTCTCAGCACTTCTCTACACAGAATTGGTACCACCGAGAGAGAGCTCCAATGTGGACCACTCAGCCTTAGACAAGGACCCCCCTCCTGGGCTGGCTGTGTTAACTCACCCAAAGGCTCACTGCAGCCATGCAGCAAAACACAAGGCTCAGTCATCCATAGAAGCATCAAAGCTACCTCATCACAATGTCACCTTTCTTGCAAGCAAAGGTGATGGCAGCTTGGAGAGTGCAAATTAAGCTGTCTGTACAGGCACCTGTTCTCTCCCCAACAGTGGTTGGTAGCTCAGGGATTTTGCTCAAGAGATTCTTAACTATTCCATGCAACAGGAAAGCAGAAGCAGCCATCAGGCAGAAGACACCTTTTCTTTTCAAGCCAAAGGAACAGCTTGCCACTGCTTCCAGTTGGCAAAATTCTACTATCAGTTTCAACACAATTCTGTAGTCAAACTGAATACTAAAATGGATTACAGACCAGTAATCAATTCTCGATTTCAAAGAGATCAAGAAACTCAACCTAAGGGCAAAAATACACCTGGATAAGGTTGGAAATACTTCAGCCTCCAGAGCTTCACAATCCAAGTGCTGAAGGAAGCAAAACTAGATAATCTCGACAGCTCACTGTTCCCCACCTCAACAAGACTAATGCTGTAGCTGAAGGGTACCACCCCGATTTCTAAGAACAAGCAAACCTCTGTACAGAGACTAAAAGTATAGAAATAACAGAAATATTCACCAGTTTTCCACACCAATTCCCCTCTGCATCAACTGGTTGCAAAAGGCGTAAGTGCCTGAAGCTAAACTGGCACTTAGCGAGAAATTCTTATAATTTAAAGTGTGTAATCATGCTTTTTTTAGTTATGTGGAAAGCTTGAAGTCAGTTAGAGGCACAGAGCAGGGTACAGCACTGCTGTGAAGTTAAAACACTGCCTGCTGCCTTCCCTTTGAAGGGCTGTACAATGGCTCAGCCCACTCACAGGTTTGCACTCACGGTCACTGGCAGGCAAAGTCTGCAGCCGTTCCCTGAGCACAGCAGTGCAGCAGCTGACCAGAAATGAGGTGCTCCCAAAGCTCACTGCCTCTCTGAAGACAGAGACTATCCTGAAGTCAAACTTCACCTCCTTTGCTTTAATCCAGCACTGATGTGGCTGTTTCTTTTATCATTCTCTACTCCATAACACACACACACACACACACACACATATATATAACACATCCCAGTGGCCCAGCGAGATTAATTTTGGCTTCCCTAAAGGAGATCCACAATGCTCAGAAGCAGCCATTGATTGTGTTATCAACATTACACTGCAGGATTGCTTTTCAGCCTCAACAATCAAATTAAGCCGAAATCTGGAATAAAAGCACAACACCTTTCTTCTCAGGATTACAGCTCGGTCCTAAAAGTCAGGGAATAAGAAAATACTCTTTACACGAGATGAGGCCAAGAGAGAAGATATGCATGTGCGAAACAGGTATCTTTAATCATACGAAAATGTGAGCCAGCTGCTGGAGCGCATTACACGCCCCAATAATTTTTTTTCCAGCTATTTCCCTTCCTTCTGGTCATATCAGTGCACTCTCCTAGAACAAATTGTGCTCAGCAGGACAAGACCAGTGCGTACAGAGGGCAAATGCATTAAGGCAGTCAGGTTCCTTCCTCACTCGTGAGACCCTTCTCAGTCAAAAAGGAAAAGCAGAACATGGTCTGGTCTTCACCTCCATTCTCTTCAGCAATTACTGTGACAAGGAATTAGAAAATTTAAGCTACCATGTTATTTACTTTCTCCTGACACTTGACAATGATGCGTTCTGACACTCCAGTACAGAAGTGTGCTGCACTTGAAGCACAAATATGCAGGGATTTCTGCACCACAAACTCTTCTAAAGGCTCTTAGAGATCAAGAAGTCTGGAATCTGGGCCCAAAATAAGGAGGCTTGGATTGCTGCAGGGAAGATGGCATTCCAGAATCAGTAGCACATTTTATCCATAGAAAGCTCAAGTGGGGAAAAAAAAAAAAAAAAGCGCACAGATATCACTATTCCAGATATATTCTTAGAGCCATCATGCTTTCACATGACTGTCCCACAGCTGTTAACATCCTCAGATCGCTCCAGCAAACAACTGCAGATTCAACACTTCACTTGTATTTAACTTTTATCTCCATCCAAACTTTCAGGCAGCTCTCTCCACACACTGGAAACAGACAGTTCTGCAGGACTGCATGTGTGTCAAGGGACTGATCTCAGCAGCAGTTCCAAGGATATAGCATGACAAATCACAGCGTTGGTGATTCCTACCTAGGAAATAGCACAAAAGCCTGTCCCTTCTCTCACCTGATACAATTACACTGGCTAGAGTAACGATTCCATACCTCCTGAAGTGATCCTCCTCTAACAGGAGCAAGAAGGGAAACATTGATACAGTGCAGTCTTCAGTTTGTTAGCAGTTGATAACTGCACTACTCTGGGGCACTAGAAATACACGTTCAAGACACAGACAATTGTTTCAGTGCAAAGACAGCAAAACAATGCAAAAATTCACAGTCCAGAATGACAATCCAAGCTGTTACCTCTTGCAGCCAAACTACCTTCCCCAAACATCCCTAGTGCTCCTCGTTATTAAAAGTTAACATACGCATGCACCATTATCCTGAAGATCCTTTGCCACTAACACCATGCACAGGTGAGAAGCTTTAAGTTGTTACAGCTCCTGAACACAAGGCATCTCTCCCCTGATACATGGCTGGTTGGAAGAGGGCCATGCAGCCCATTTAATTCAGTTCCCCTCCTCTTCCATCTGCCCTGGACAGCCATGCCCTATAAGTCTTCTGAGAGCAATTGTATTTAAAGTGAAAAAATGCCAGGAGTCCACACACATCCAGTGTGCTTAGGATGTACTGTTCCAAGCCAGCACAGGCCTGCCAGCTCTGAGCTGCAGGCCAGTACCAGAGCAATCCCAGCCTCTGTATCATTCTGCCCAGCTTTTATTTATCTTTAAAGATGGTTTTAGAAATTAAACATGAGCTCTGTTCCAGAGACACCTCCCAACTACTACTGCATTAAGTACCAGAGCCAAAAAACAGATACAATTGGCACCAAAAAAAAAAAGAAAAAAGAGCATGCTGTTTTTGCTTTGCCCATTCCTCCCTTTGGAAGCTCTTCCCTCTACAACCAGATATGTATACCAAAATCAGCATAGAGCAGCAGCATCCAAAGCTCCTGCACGCACACAGCAGCCCTGCAAACAAAACAGGTACTGATGTGCTGCAGGCACAAGGGAACAAAGTCACCCATTGCACACAGGACTAAACCCAGCATGGACAAAGCTGCAGAGCAGCAGGATGCCATCAGTCACTACAGCAAATAAAGAGGAAGAGCTCAGATGCAGCCCTGAAGGTAACAGTGCAGCCACCTGATCCAGCAGCAGCTTCAGGCTTTCCACTCCTTCGCCTCTTCCTGCTTTCTCACACCTGTCCTACAGCAAGATGGCAATTTTACTGACACATTTTTGTTTGAGATGACTAAGCATGATCTTTTCCCTTTCCACCAGCTTGCCTTCTTCTCTTGCACAGTAGCAACATAAAGCCTTCTCTGCTGGAGAGGAAAACTAGAAAAAGGTGAAAGATCACATCCAAACCATTCCATCCTTTTGCCCATTTCCTTCTGGAAACCCTCTGCACACGCTCCTCTGCCTTCAGCACACGCTCAAGTGGAAGCATCCAGCCAAAGCAGGCCTTTGCTCAAAAGCACATCAATTTCAGTATGAAACAGCTATTTCCCCACCACCTCAACTTCAGAATAGGAAAAAAAAAAAAAAAGCGCCGTGGATCTGACATGTGGCACATATGACCAATGTGATTCATACATGTCAGCAGAGCACCTTTCCCATCCCCAGCAATGTCAGTTCCAAGCATCACTTTACAGTGACACCATACAGCCTCACCGTTATGCCATACAACTGAAAGCACAGGCATGACACAGGCACGACACAGGCACACAGTTTCCCAGTGGGCAGCCCAAAGATCTGAGTGACAGCTACCACCTTACAGCCATGTCACCTGCCCAGACCTCAGCTCAGCACCAACAGCAGGAGATGGGGCACACACAGTCTCATTTACAGGGACCAACAACAAATGAATGAAAATCACAATACATCATAGAATGGCCTGAATTGTAAAGGACCACAATGCTCATCTAGTTTCAACTCCCCTGCTGTATGCAGGGTCACCAACCACCAGACCAGGCTGCCCAGAGCCACATCCAGCCCAGCCTTGAATGCCCACAGGGATGGGGCATCCACAGCCTCCTTGGGCAACCTGTTTGAGCACCTCACCACCCTCTGTGTGAAAAACTTCCTCCTAAC